GTTCTCAAAAGGACTGGGGGTAAAAGGCAGGGCCGGGGGCTTTGCCTTTTTATCCCTCCTTTATATTATGAACTTATGCATACATACAAATTCACTGGAGGAAAGGCTTTTGCTTACCAACAGGTTTCTTCTTAATTATTATTTTTTTAATTATTTTTTTTTTTTTTTTGAGACAGAGACTTGCTCTGTCACCTAGGCTGGAGTGCACGGTCTCAGCTCACTGCAACCTCTTCCTACTGGGCTCAAGCAATTCTGCTGCCTCAGCCTGCCGAGTAACTGGGACTTCAGGAGCCTGCCACCATGCCTGGGTAATTTTTGTATTTTTACTAGACAAGGGGTTTTGCCATGTTGGCCAGGCTGGTCTTGAACTCCTGACCTCAAGTGATTCACCTGCCTCAGCCTCCCAAAGTGCTGTGATTACAGGTGTGAGCCACCACTCCCCTAAAACCTCTTTTTAGTCCAGTCATTCCTTGGGTATCTAAATCTCACCTTCCCCACACCCTTTTCATCTGCTCAAGGTCCCCTGGCCTCTGCTGTCCCTTTCCCTCAGGCAGAGGAGGTTGTTGGGAGAGGAACCAGACCCTACACTTCTTGTGACCTGCCTGCTCCGGGCTTGCACTGTCTGCCACCCCTCACTCACTGACCGATTCTCTTGTCCCAGGTTCAGCTTTTCCTAGTGTTTCTTTTCTGAAACTATTTATCAAGTCAACAGATATCTTTGTGCTGTTCTTAACAGTTAATACCCACGTTTTGTTAAAATTCTTTAAGTTTGTATGTTTTCTTGTTTTAAGGAGAATGTTAAACTTATTTTTATTATTCTTATAGTCAGGGAAGATATAGTAGATAGGACAGGCATGGCAATAAGTGAACAAATAAATGAATCAGACCAGGCGCGGTGGTTCATGCCTGTAATCCCAACACTTTGGGAGGCCAAGGCAGGCTGATCACCCGAGGTCAGGAGTTCAAGACCAGCCTGGCCAACATGGCGAAACCCCGTCTCTAAAAATAAGTAGGGTATGGTGGCACACGCCTGTAGTCCCAGCTACTCAGGAGGCTGAGGCAGGAGAATCACTTCAACCCAGGAGCTGGAGGTTGCAGTGAGCTGAGATCGTGCCACGGCCCTCCAGCCTGGGTGACAAGAAAAAAACTGTCTCAAAAAAAAAAAAAAAATCAATATAAGCTTTATTTTTCTTAGTCATTATTCCTGTTCCTGACCTGACTCAGAGGCCTGGGGCAGTAGGATAGCAGGAAGGCAAGCAGCCTTTCTTGGACATGGCACGAATTCATAGGTAATAATACTTATAATAATAAGTAATTGGTACTGTTCTTAGCATTTTACATATATTAACTCACTTATCTTGGCAACAACCCCACGCTGAAGATTCTATTAATGTATCCACTTTATGGATGATGAGACAGGCTGAGGGGTAAAGGAGTTTGCTCAATATACACAACTACAGTGCCTGGCAATTAGAAGCACCCCACTGGGTGATCATCCTGGCATTGATGGCCTCTCACAAGAGAATCCAAAGAGAACATCAGCCTGCATTTAGCAGTCCGTCTTTGCAGGCTGATCTTCTCTTTGGGATTCTACCTCTTGCTGCTCTCATGACAACCTTTTCCAGTAGCCCAGTAGCAAGGCATACCCTCACTTACCATGTCCGCCCAGTCTCTGCCTCTTGAAACCCGACCCATCCTTCAGGGCCTTGCTCTTGCCTTACCTTTACCATGAAGCCATCCCTGATCCCCCACCAAGCTGGAAAGACTCTCTCCCGCCTCTTTGTTCCCCAGGCAATTTGTTGGAATCTGGGTGGCGGCTAGCGCCACAGTCTATCATATTATCACTTTTTGGTGTGTGTGTGTGTGTGTGTGTGTGTGTGTGTGTGTGCCTGCATGCACCTGGCTTCTGTGCTAAGCCATATGCTTCCTGAGGGCAAGGCTTTGTCTCTGGGAATCTCTTGGAAGGAACAGGCCCGCAATGAATGTTGCTGAAACCAGGAGAATGGATTGAGTCTTGCTAGGAATCACCAGGGCAAGTAAATACACTGTTAAAAAAAAAGTACGCTGCTCCCCAAACCCAGGTCTTTGGCTTTTCTGGGGTTTTGAGTCTGGAGCAAGGATTCAGCCTTTGACAAATGACTAGGACTCTGTCTGCCAGGTGGGGCCGCTTGGCCAGTGCTGGTGCCACATCCCCCAGGACCTTGTGGTCCTCTCCACTCCAGAGCCCCTCCCCCGCTTATCCCTCAACTCTGGCTGCCCCCTCCATTGAAGATCTCAGGAGCCCCCCGCCTTAGCAAAGCTGAGGATCCAGTCACCACAGGGGAATGTGGTGTATGGGGAAGCTGGAGCCCCCCACCCCCTTCAGGCTTCATGTTCTGCCCTGATTATGCCTCCAATATGACTCCCAGGGAAGGCAGGGCTTGCGGGGGGGCATGTGGAGACTAAGGAAGAGAGGGAGCAGAGAGGAGGGCAAAGGCAGCAGAAAGAAAGGTGAGCGTGGTGGAAGGCGGCGGGGCTCGACCTCTGGCCTCTCCGGACGCCCGGCAGCGCCAGGCAGGGCCCGGGTCTGGGTGGTGGAGGACAACTTCTGCCAGCAGCCCGCCGCGAGTCAGTCCGCCTCCCGCGCGCTGCGGTGCCCGGCCCCGCGCCAGCCCTCCCGGGGGAGCCGGAGCCCGGCCGCGCTGCTCCCCCCGGGGCTGCCCCGGCGCCCACACCCCCCACGCCCACCGACCGGCCTCCTCACCTTCGGGACCTGGGAGCCACCGGCCGGCGGGGCCCGGGGTCGGGGCCGGGCTGGGTGGGGGCGGCGCTCTTCCCCCCGCGCTAGCTGCGCCCGGGGTTCCGCAGCGCCCGCCCCGGCTGCGGCGCCATCAGCTGCTGGGAGGCTGCGGGGCAGTCGGGCAGGGGCTCCGAGGGGTTCGGGGGCGCCGAAGGGGGGCCGGGGCGGGCTCCAGGCGTAAACACCCAGCAACGTGACCGGAACTGGCGAACGAGCTGGAGGGGTGCGGGGGGCGGGAGAGATGAAGGGGGAGGGGAGGGACCAGGGGCGGGCGGGGCGGGGCCGTGGGCGGGGCGGGGGGGAGGCCGGCGGCGCGCGGCCGGGGGAGGGGGAACCCCGGGAGCCCCGAGAGCCCCGGGAGCCGGGCCAGAGGCCCCCGGCGGGCCACTGGGCTCGCGGAGCTGGCTTTGGCTGCCCGCTGGAAGGGCGGCGACCTGGGGAGCCCGCCGGTGCCCGGGCGAGCAGGGGCGCGGCGGGGGATCAGCACCGCGGACAGCGCCCGGGCCTATCAGGCCGCGATCCGCTCCGCCCCTCCCGCCCTGGCGTAGGAAGGAGAGGCAGTGCCCGCGCCCGCGCAGGGAAGACTTGTGGCTAAGCGCGATCCGACCCGTGGGCTAGGAATCCGTCCCGTGTCCAGGCGGCGGCAAAGCCGCCCCAGACCTCTCACTAGCTGCGTGGCCTTGGGTGAGTCACATCACCTCTCTGGGCCCCAGTTAATAAGACGCCCTATTTCACCCTCTATGAGGGTCCCAGGATCAAAGGGAAGATCCTTTATAAACTCCAAAGTTCTGCCGGGCGCCGTGGCTCACGCCTGTAATCCCAGCACTTGGGGAGGCCGAGGCGGGTGGATCACCTGAAGTCAGGAGTTCAAGACCAGCCTGGGCAACATGGTGAATCAGAGTCTTTACTAAAACTACAAAATTCAGTCGGACGTGGTGGTGGGTGCCTGAAATCCCAGCTACTGAGGAGGCTGAGGCAGGAGAATCACTTGAATCAGGGAGGCAGAGGTTGCAGTGAGCCCAGATCCACTGCACTCCAGCCTGAGCAACAAGAGCAAGACTGTGTTACAAACAAAAATCTCCAAAGTTCAGAACGAGTGCAAGGCATTGCTGTTGATCCGTTTTCACCGCACACGGGAGGCTTCAGGAGTCCCACTGTGTCTGGCTACCCTAACATCTTCCTCTTCCCTGGGTCTTGGTCTCATCTATAAATGAGGATAATGATGGCATGTAGCTCATAAGATCTTTGGGTTGGGTGAGGATTAAATGAATTCCTACATGTAAAGTGCTCAGAACAGCACTGCTGAGTGCTCTTTAGGCCTTTGTGCTCATGACAAGGGATGAGGTGGGATTGTGAGAGTGGCAGCTGGCTTAGAGACTCCTCTGGGTAACTCATTCTTGTCCCTGCCTGGAGGACTGGGGCGGATTCAGGCTACCAGGCTGGTGCCTGGCTTTTCCCACTATTGCTAACCCAATGATCCTTGCCCTTCCACCCAGGCCAGATTTCCAGAGAAGCCCTCTACCTTCAGAACAGGGAGACCTGGCACCTGCCACAAACGGCCCTGGGGAGACTTCAAGGGCACCCTGCCTCTCTATGGGTCCTTTTCTTCCCCAATTTCCAAAGCTTAACTGGACTCAGGTGTCAACAATAAAAAGCTGTAGCTTGCTGGGCACGGTGGCTCACGCCTGTAATCCCAACACTTTGGGAGGCCAAGGCAGGTGGATCACGAGGTCAGGGGTTCAAGAGCAGCCTGGCCAAGATGTTGAAATGCTGTTTTTACTAAAAATACAAAAATTAGCCAGGCACGGTGGGAGGCACCTGTAATCCCAGCTACTTGGGAGGCTGAGGCAGGAAAATCGCTTGGACCCGGGCGGCAGAGGTTGCAGTGAGCCAAGATCACGGCACTGCACTCCAGCCTGGGGGATAGAGTGGGACACCATCTCAAAAAAGAAAAAGAAAAAGAAAAGAAAAAGTTGCAGGAATGACTTGACAGACCATAGTCTTTGAATTTTGCTTAAAGGCCTCTCAAATCCCACCCAGCAGGAACTCTAGCTTCTAGCTGCACTGTGAGTGGCCCCTCTTCACCCTGTGAGGAAATCCTGGGGAGAGGAGCAGAAAGGCCAGCCTCATCCTGCTTCCTGTCTCTTGTTGTCCTTCCTAGAGGGTTGCATTCCTGGATTGTGCTCCCTGGACTTGCTTATCAGTATCTCCAGCAGCAGTGTGAGTTCTGACGAACCATCCATATTCCCTCAGTTCCATGAGCTGTCGGTAAGAATGATGAAAGGCATGTTTGTCGATATTGTTGTTTTTAAACAGAGTCTCACTCTGTCGCCCAGGCTATTACTGAGTCAAAAGACGTGTACGCTCCTCAGCTTTTGAGCATACTGTCAGATTTCCATGCACACTGGTTGGACCAATTTGTACACCCAGCAGCAATAATCGGGAGCACAAACTTCCCTTCTCTCTTTTTATTCTGTGTGAAATAAAAACAACAATAACAGGCTGGGTGCGGTGGCTCATGCCTGTAATCCTAGCACTTTGGGAGGCTGAGGTGGGTGGATCACCTGAGGTTGGGAGTTCGAGACTAGCCTGACCAACATGGAGAAACCCTGTCTCTACTAAAATAATAATAATAATAATAATACAAAATTAATTGAGCGTGGTGGCACTTGCCTGTAATTCCAGCTACTCAGGAGGCTGAGGTAGGAGAATCGCTTGAACCCGGGAGGCGGAGGTTGTGGTTCACCCAGATCACCCCATTGCACTCCAGACTGGGCAACAAGAGTGAAACTCTGTCTCAAAAAATAACAACAACAACAATAACAATAACGATAAACTTTTCCAAATTTGACAAGTTGAAAAAATGGTGTCACGTTAAAATTTTCAAAGTACTTGAGGTTTAGTAGGATTAAGTTTTTTTTTCCTTTTGGGGAGAGAGCGTTCCTTCTATGTTGCCCAGGCTTGAACTCCTGGGCTGGAGCTATCCTCCTGCCGTAGCCTCCCAAAGTGCTGGGATTACAGGTGTGAGCCACTGCGCCCAGCAAGATTAAAATTTGTAAATTTATGTGTATTTGCTATACATGTTTCTATCGTGCATTGTTTGCTCATGTCCTTTACCCATTTCTCTCTTATAGTCTTCATCATTTCTTAGTCTTTTTTTTTTTTTTTTTTTTTGAGACGGAGTCTCCCTCTTTGGCCCACGCTGGAGTGAAATGGCACGATCTCTCAGCTTGAGCGAGATTGTCCCCTGCCACCCTGGGTTCAAGTGATTCTTGTGCCTCAGCCTCCTGAGTAGCTGGGATTACAGGTGCCCACCACCACGCCTGGCTAAATTTTGTAATTTTAGTAGAGATGTGGTTTCACTTTGTTGGCCAGGCTGGTCTCCAACTCCTGACCTCAGGTGATCCATCTTCCTGGGCTTCCCAAAGTGCTAGGATTATAGGCATGAGCCACCATGCCTGACCCATTTCTTATTCTTTATTATAACACTTTTGGCCAGGTGCGGTCATTCACACCTGTAACCCCAGCACTTTGGGAGGCTGAGACAGGAGAATGGCTTGAACCTAGGAGTTGAAGCCTGCAGTGAGTTATAGTCACACCACTGCTCTCCATCCTGGGAGACCCTGTCTCAAAAAATATCTATACACAAAAACTTAAAAAAAACTTTCGATACTTTTATTTCTTAGTTGTAGTAAAATACACTTAAAATTTATCTTCACTTTTTTTCATGTACAGTTTACTGACAGTAAATATATTCATATTGTTGTGCAGCCATCGCCATTATCCTCCATCTCCAGAACTCTTCATCTTGCAAAACTGAAACTCTGTACACATTAAGCAATTACTCTTCATTCTCTCTCCCTCTTCCCAGCCCCTAGCAACCACTGTCTTACTTTCTGTCTCTATGAATTTGACTATGTGACTATTGCATGTTTTGTTTTTTTGTTTTTGTTTTTTGTTTTTGTTTTTGTTTTTTTTTGGTGAGACAAAGTCTTGCTCTGTCACCCAGGCTGGAGTGCAGTGGCATGATCTCGGCTCACTACAACCTCCACCTCCCGGGTTCAAGCAATTCTTCTGCCTCAGCCTCCTGAGCAGCTGGGACTACAGGCACACACCACCATGCCTAGCTAATTTTTGTATTTTTATTAAAGACAGGGCTTCACCATGTTGGTCAGGCTGGTTTCAATCTCCTGACCTCATGATCCACCTGCCTCAGCCTCCCAAAGTGCTGGGATTACAGGCATGAGCCACCTGCACATGGTGACACTTGCCTTTTAATTTTGCGTGTTGTGTTTCTGTGATGTGCAGATATTAAACATTTTTATTTCAGTCAAATGCATTAATCTCTTCCTTTATGGCTTCTGCCACTGATGTCATGCTAAAAAAATTCTATCCTTCTTTAATATAATGACAATGCTTATCTACGTATTTTTCTAGCCCTTTATGTTTATACACTTACGTTTATACTTCGTTTTTTCCTTTTTCCCTGTTTGCAAGCTAACAAGTTATTATACATTTACATTTATGATGCATCTGAATTCTATTTTGTGATGTGAAATAGAGACCTTGCTTCCTGTCCTGCTCCTAGCAAATGGTTTTAACTATTTGTCCCATCACCCTTTCCCCACAAATTTGAAATACATGTATTTTACAATGCACACACACGGGTATACATGCACACATGTACACACCCACACACCCACATGCACACCCACATGTGCACACACACACCCACCCCCTTGGGGATGTTCCCAGAAATTCTCTTCTGTTTCCTTGGTCTCCATGTTAATTCTGCTTGGGAAGCTTAAAGAAAGGAGGCTCGGGCTGGGCGTGGTGGCTCACACCTGTAATGCCCCCTCTTTGAGAGACAAGCAGATCACCTGAGGTCAGGAGTTCGAGACCAGCCTGACCAATATGGTGGACCCCTGTCTCTACTAAAAATACAAAAATCAACGTGGTGGGTGCCTGTCGTCCCAGATGCTTGGGAAGCTGAAGCAGGAGAATCTCTTGAACCTGAGAGGCGGAGGTTGCAGTGAGCCAAGATTGCACCACTGCACTCCTGCCTGGGCAATGGAGCAAGACTCCTTCTCAAAAGAAAAAAAAAAAAAAAGGAAAAAAAAAAAGATGCTTAAAGGATTACAGAGGCTCACGCCTGTAATCCCAGCACATTGGGAGTCCAAGGCAGGTCAATCACCTGAGGTCAGAAGTTTGAGACTAGCCTGTCCAACATGGTGAAACCCCGCCTCTATTAAAAATACAAAAAAGCCGGGCACGGTGGCTCAAGCCTGTAATCCCAGCACTTTGGGAGGCCGAGGCGGGTGGATCACGAGGTCGAGAGATCGAGACCATCCTGGTCAACATGGTGAAACCCCGTCTCTACTAAAAATACAAAAAATTAGCTGGGCATGGTGGCACGTGCCTGTAATCCCAGCTACTCAGGAGGCTGAGGCAGGAGAATTGCCTGAACCCAGGAGGCGGAGGTTGTGGTGAGCCGAGATCGCGCCATTGCACTCCAGCCTGGGTAACGAGCAAAAACTCCATCTCAAAAAAAAAAAAAAAAAAAAATTAGCCGAGTGTGGTGGTGCACGCCTGTAATCCCGGCTATTCGGGAGGCTGAGGCAGGAGAATTGCTTGAACCAGGAGGTGGAGGTTGCAGTCAGCCAAGATCATTGTGCCGCTGCACTCCAGCCTTGGCCACAGAGGAAGATTTTGTCTTTAAAAAAAAAAAAGGCCTGGCGCGGTGGCTCAAGCCTGTAATCCCAGCACTTTGGGAGGCCGAGGCGGGTGGATCACGAGGTCGAAAGATCGAGACCATCCTGGTCAACATGGTGAAACCCCGTCTCTACTAAAAATACAAAAAACTAGCTGGGCGTGGTGGTGCATGCCTGTAATTCCAGCTACTTAGGAGGCTGAGGCAGGAGAATTGCCTGAGCCCAGGAGGCGGAGGTTGCGGTGAGCCGAGAACGCGCCATTGCACTCCAGCCTGGGTAACAAGAGCGAAACTCCGTCTCAAAAAAAAAAAAAAAAAAAAAAGAAGAAGAAAGAAGAAGAAGACAGGAGAGAGTATGCTCATAGTGGATGGCTAGCCTCATGCTAGACACTTATTTAGGGGCCAAGGGTGAGCTGCCCGCGGGTACCTGGTCTGTGTCTCTTTCCTCCTTCCCCTGCAGGAGGCCTCTGTTCTGTTACATTCTTTGTCCCACTGTCTCGCTGTTACTTTGGCTGAGACATAGTGGAAAGCCCAGGTGGGGATTCTTGGGATTTATGTCATCTTCACTTTTGTTGAACATCTGTAGATGGAATGACAAATGTCAGTAGGAGTTTGGAGGTGGGGGGAAGTTTTTCCAATGATCCTGGGCATAAGCCCACTGTCCTCACGAGGAAGGTAACCTCCCAGGAGCTCCATCCCTGGGAGCTGGGTTTCCTCCTCTTTCTGCATAAGTTTTCTTTCCGCAAAGGATGTGGGTCGTCTAGATATGGGGCGGGGGTGGGTAAATTGGGAGGCCACCATGCAAGGTGTGGACAGTTTCTATATAAGTGAGTTTTAAAACTAAATATGAGTTTTAGAAGTAAAACTCAGCTCGGCTGGGCAGCTTTGCTAGGCCAATGTCATATTGTTTTAATTACTGTTACTTTAAATATTCTACAGACTTTAAAAGTTTTTTTTTTTTTTTTTTTTTTTTTTTTCTTCTAGAGACAGAGTCTGTCTATGCTGCCCAGGCTGGTCTCAAACTCCTGGACTCAAGTAATATTCTTTCCTGGGCCTCCCAAAATACTGGCATTACAGGTGTGAGCCACTGTGTGCAGCCAAATTAGTCGCTTTAAAATACTTTAATTGGCCGGGCGCGGTGACTCGCGCCTGTAATCCCAGCACTTTGGGAGGCCGAGGCAGGTGCATCACCTGAAATCAGGAGTTCTAGATCAGCCTGGCCAACGTGGCAAAACTTTGTCTCTACTAAAAAATACAAAAATTAGCCAGGCGTGGTGGTGCACCTGTAAACCCAGCTACTCTGGAGGCTGAGGCACGAAAATTGCTTGAACCTGGGAGGTGGAGGTTGCAGTGAGCCAGGATTGCACCACTGCACTCCAGCCTGGGTCTCTCTCTTTTCATATGTATCTATATCTATATCTATCTATCGATCGATCTGTGTATCTATATGTAAATGATTTGTAGGGCGCATCAAACCACCAAATTTGAGGCATCTAGAGTAGTTTAATGTTCTAGGCATCACTTTGTGGGTAGGTAGACGGGTTTTATAAGGGAGTAA